GCAAGTCGCCCCACTTCCATCGCCGGTGCAAACCGCTGCGCCCACGATCGGTGAGGCTGAGCGACATGCTCGTGTATGGGCAGGTTATTGTACAAGTAACAACAGCACCTTGCATGTACAGTTGAATGCTCGATACTTGTAACTTGAAGTTTTTCTGCCCATCTTCCTAGTTGTACCCTTTCCCACTGCTATTTATACGCATAACTTTGTCTATGTTTTCAACCGCTTTCTCAAATGCCAGTTAAATATATGACTTGTAATTCCTATGCCTTCTATCTTCATATTCTTGGTTCCTATGACACCAAACCAATTAAGCTGCTCAACGATACCCCCTCAATAATATGACTCTGTCGAAAGTAAAGCTGTAAAGATGCAAAATGTGGTTGCCGAGAAAAAAATACAAAGTTAAATGCTAGCTGTGGTTGAAAAACGACAGAGCGAAGGATGCTTGGAATATCTCCTGGCGGTCATATAAACAATCAGACTCTTCGTCAGAAATGCTGCGTGCAAAATGTAACTGTAACTAGCGAGGGGATAAAATCACCTGTTACTCAGTTTGCTGTAGACGACCTGTATCAGTAAATCACGTGGCCACTGAACGACTGCACAAGTCTTCGAAGTGATGCGAGGTGGCGAGGGGTACCAATAGAATACGCGCAGCTCAGGATAAAGGAATTTGATATAGCTGTCGCCCTTCTTATGAAACCACCCCCTTAACACCAGAGCACACTGACTACCCAAATGCTTTTAACAGCCTAGGCAATTAATACAGACAATATTCCGACAAAAAATATAGCAACCTGTAAAACAACTTAAAGAGAGAATCAAAAAAAAAAAAAATTCTGTTGAAAAAACCACTTTTTTATAGACGGTTAAGTCAAAATGCTGTACCCAGAAGGATAAATGAGAAACCAGTGAAAAGACAGGATTAAATGAAAAATCTAAACAAACAAGAATAAAAAAACTGTCCGCTGCACCGATGGGGAAGACAGACGCAACAAAAAAGCAGTAGCTGACCAAAAGTAACGAAATAAACAACATAAAGAAACTAGCACAGCATAAACAATTGACAAACTCTCAGCTCGGGTTTTTTGCATGGAGTTCAATGGTGCCGCACGATACGAGATGGCTCATGTGCGCTGGCACGCGGCAGTGGAATCCAATGCGATGACTTGCTTGTGTTAGCCGAAGATTCCAAATAATGATATGCTGAAATAAAAACCCAGAATTCGAAAAAAATCACTGTTTTACCAATCCAGACACGCATCAAAGCGGCCCCTCCTCGAGCTGCACGAACTGCAAAGGTCGACTGCAAGAAATGCGATAAAATCTAAAGCAGTTTTGCGCTATAACTCCTCGTCTGGCGATGTGGCGGTACAGCACATTGGTGAAAAGGCATCATACTCAGAAGCCAAGCCAGTGTCAGAGTTAGTGCCATGGTCCTTCACAGCTGATTTCTT